TCAAGTGATTGTTTCTAATTACCTTGCCCATTTTGTTAACAACGTAATCTTTGCATGTCTCCACAGCATCGTATGCAAACTGGTCATTAAGAGAAGGTGCAGAAAGTTCCTTTTCACTGATTCCATCAATTGTAACAAAATTATCTGTGCATAAGATGAAACCATTACAATACTTCATGTACTACTATTTTTATAGCAGTTGCATAGTACTATATACCAGTCTGCCAGAAATAAAAAAGGCTTCATATACTGCTATTGTATATCTACTGCTACTACACTAGCAATAGCATAATTGCATAAAACTTGCATATACTTCATAAAATGCTTTTCTCAATCAGTTAGTACTGACCAGTTATCCCTAGGCCCAATACAAAGCCAGTCATTTTGTACTGTCTGACTGGAGGAACTGATGATTGAGAGAGAGAGCGGGCAACACGAAAGCCAGAATGCTGATAAAAGTGTCTCCTAAAAGCACTCCTTGTAAACCAGGAGGAGTAGCTACCTATTGAAATCCATGAGCTACCCTGCATGAGAAGAGAAATTGAAGAAGGAAGTGGATTTTTAAAACAATATAATGCAAATAAAATACTAGTAGTAAGCAGTTTTTATTCAATAAAGTTCAAATTTATATACCAGTAGGATATTGTGCCTTCCATCAAAGCTTGGTCCTGAATAATCATCATAAAGATAGTGCGTCTTAAATCCAGGCAGACCATCAAACTGATCTTCAGTACACTCCCATACATTGCCACTGACATCATAAAAACCATTGGAGTTTGGCTTATAAAAATTGACAGGCTAGAATTAAAAAATCAGTGGGTAATCTTGTTAACTTTATGTTCTTACAGTTGATGATCCATATGCAAGATTAGTGTTAGTTTCAGATTCTTCGCTGCTTAAAATAGCACCATCAAATTTTGAATAGCGAGGCTAAAAATTCATTATTAATAATATTAATTAAAGATGAATAAAACCTTGTTTCCTCTCATGATCTGGTGCTCGGCTTCAGTCGGTAGTCTAAACTCCGCCCCTTTCCAACGGCAGTATGCCTTAGCTTCGTGATAGTTAACATCAACTGGCCAATCCCAGGGCATATCAATGACGTCATACAAAGCACGATACCTGTGCACAACAACTTCATTCCTATAATTCCAAACTCCCATTCTGACCTGTACTTCTGTCCATGGCCTTCATTGTTACAATGAGAGTAATCAGAGAGAGTGGATCCACAATTAGACTTACATCCATCAGTACAGACCCAAAACAATGGATGCTTTGGCTGCCTGAATTGGACCCATTGCCAGCCTATTATTGATGTAAATATTGCATGTGAAGACAAGGTATGAAAATATCCTTTGATTATTACCTTCATCAGTCCAGTATTTCTTAGTACTGTATCCACCATCAGCAACAAAGTCGAAAAACTCTTTGTTAGTAATAAGATACTGAGTTGCCTCAAATGCAGGAACTCTAAGATTAAGAAGAATTGTAATAAGAACAGTAATATTTCATCTTCTCACTTAGTAGTTTTAGTTCCATACTCATTGTCCCAGCCATAAGTAGGGAAGTCAGTAGGTTTACCTAATGTAATCTCTCCTTCATTCACTTTAATGAATGCATTAGGACCAACTGGTGTAGGAGAATTAATGGGAGCATACTTCCAGTTAGTGGGACACTCCAAATAATCAACTGGTAACTGACGTATCAACACTGATGACGTTTCAATATGGATCCTATAAATTGCAAAAAGAGAAGAGAAAATAAATTTTTAAAAATCATTTCCATTTACCTCTGGTGCTCTATTCCCATTAGCAAGCTCCACTGCAAATCAAAGAAGATTCAAATTATTTAAAATTAACCTTATCTTACCCAAGGATGATCCATGGTTACAGGTAAAGTGAGTGGTGCATTCTCAATTACTTCAATCACCAGCTCCCTCACTCTGTTCCTGTACTCCATAACTTCACTCAATGATGGCCACTGATAGCTACCACCCATCCTGTAGTTCTCCTAAAATAATAAAAGAGTTGATAATGATACAATGTTATATAATTATCATGCTGTGTACTAAGAATATTAACTAACTGTGTCATCCCAGGACATTTCATCCACTCCGGTTTCAAACATTTTCTCAAAACTTCTGTTAACTCTCTCCTGCATAACAACAAAGTAGAGAGAGCATTTAACAGGTGTTACTATTTTCAATAATTTATTGTTAGGACAACAATAAATGGTGATTAACATAAAAGGTAAAATAGATCAAACTTCACACATCCTGGGCTATGCTGCAGTAATTAGATAACATCAAGACTCATAATATACTATAACTTGGCATGCTTGGAATGAAGCAGTACTATTCAAAAGCAAGAGTATAATGCAACAGCTACCTATACCTTAATGAGTCCAGCTAGCAATAGCTTGTTAACATAGAGAGTGGCTGTGTGACCAAAATAAAAGATGAGAGGCAGACGAAGCCTATCAGGGCACATGTAGAAATACTTCTCATCTAGAAAAAGAGGATGAAAATTATTTCTTTGCTCTTAGCAATGAGAGGTGTGATAGATCTATAGGCTTGGAAATGGGCCAATTTTAGATGTAGTGCTTATAATTAAGTACACAATAGCTCAATTCTTAAAGCTTTTAAAACACAAGTCCCGCAACTATCGACCTTTTATTGCTGAGAAGAGTCCCTCATCCAAATCGTATGCATTTTCAAAGTAGCTTCTCATTTCCCTATAGAGCATGTAGAGGAGAAAGTAGCGGTTTATGCAAAAAATGTATAGATATAGCTTTACTTTCTAGTAAAAAGGTTAAGATTTGGAGGTGCCAGAGATGAGAAGACATATTCCTTCGCTCTAAAGGCCTCCAGTAGTGCAGTGGAGCTCACCCCATTCTCTTTCTCAGACATGATATCAAATTTCTGCAGAAGAGACTAGGCGTGGCTATATAATGGGCGGGGCTGCTGCATTTCTTTGGCTTTGCTGCTTCCTAGAAAGATGGCTACCGCCTCCAGGCCTCAAAAGAGATCAATTGTAGAGTATTTGGGCAGTGATGGAGGCCATAGGTGTGGCTACTGTAAGAGCTCGAGCGGGTTTGTAGCACCTGGAATGTGGGCCCATCAACTAACTGTACAGCATCTACAAGTAATGTTAACACTCCAAGTATATACTCTAATGCATATTCTTACTATAATGGTGTTTTATTAAAATAAAAATTTACTTTTTAATATATACGTGTACACGTATACGTGTTGTTATGTTGCGTACACATTTTGAGCTGATTCTGATCAAAATTGGATTTTTTTACAAATTTTTATATTTACTCAAAAATCGGGTCAAAGTCCCTGTACTATAGTACATGGTCTCAAGCCAAATTTTGCCAAAATTGAAAAAGAGAGAAATCTTCATTTTTATAATTTTTTCTGATACATGATATGTTCTTATGTTGTGCAGAAAGTTTGAGCTGATTCCAAGCAAAGTTGAATTTTTTATGAATTTTCAAAGTTACTCCAAAATCAGGTCAAAGTCCTTGTACTATAGTACAGGAACTTTGGCCAAATTTTGTCAAAATTGAGAAAGAGAGAATTCTCCATTTTTATAATTTTTCCTAATGCGTATACCTGCTCTTATATTGTGTAGAAAGTTTGAGCTGATTCCAATCAAAGTTGGATTTTTTATGAATTTTTAAAGTTACTCCAAAATCGGGCCAAAGCCACTGTTGTATGTTATATAATTATCATTAAAAATGGCTGTTTTAAATTGTTGTTTATTTATTTTGATTGCAACACGAGTCTTTCTAAATATTTAATATTTATGCATAAACAGTTTTTAAAAAGACAGTTTCACTTTTACTCTCTCTATGTCCCTTAGGAATTAACAGACAGAGGCTGGAGAAGAAGCGGAAAGTACATCTATAAACCAGCCAACGAGATGATGTGCTGTCCTCTTTACATTATTCGCTGCGATGCACCAAATTTTGTGCCCTCGAAATCTCAAAAAAGGACTATTAAGAGAATGGCCACTTTTCTCAAAACCGGAAAGAAACCAAGAGATGGGTGTGATGAGGAGGAGACAAGAATTGACGCTAAAAGTGACGGTCAAGATAAGCCACGCTTACTTGAAGGCATGGCTAAGTTACCGGAAGCAGAGGGTAAGTTGAAAGTGAAAACTGTTCGTCCTGGTGAAGGAGCTGATCCTAGTAAGCCTCCGGCAAGAAAAGCTAAAGACATAAGAAAAGAAAAGAAATTATTAAAAATGCAGCAAATGGATCAAAGTGAAGCCACACCCATAACGACGCCCAAAGCTCAGCCGACTAGAAAATCACTTGAAGATTACTTAGAAGAAATTCAACCATCCGAAGACTCCGCCCATAAGCTAACGATAAAACTAGTACGGTCACATCCAGAATCAAAAGAATTTACGGAATCTTATTTTGAAAGTTATGAGGTTTATAAAAAGTATCAAATGAGCGTACATAAGGACACACCTGATAAATGTACCGTAAAAGATTTCAAAAGGTTTCTTGTTGATTCCCCGCTTTGCGAAGAACCCGGACCCAAGGGGTGGGACTGTGGCTATGGCTCGTACCATCTACAATATCGAATAGATGGAAAATTAATTATGGTGGGTGTGATTGATGTACTGCCAGAGATCGTGTCGTCAAAGTACGTTTATTATGATCCTGATTTCGATTTCTTGAGACTCGGAGTGATATCGGCTCTCAACGAGATGGGACTCGTGAGAAAACTCCATTCCCACAATCCAACCCTCCGCTATTACTGCATGGGGTATTATGTACACGATTGTCAAAAAATGAAATATAAAGGCGAGTATTTCCCGTCCTTCTTGCTCTGCCCTGTCACCAATCGCTACGTTCCTTTCGAGATCTGCCAGAAAAAGTTAGACGTTTCAAAATATGCTCGTTTCGACGACGAAGGTAGCCCAGAAGAACCACCAAATGAGGAGGGCACAATGGTAATGTATCGTAGACAGCTGCTACCTTATGGGATAGTAAGGAGGATCATAACTGATAGAGAACGAAGGGAGTTTGAAAGCAAAGTTAAGGAATATACTCAGTTAGCTGGAGCTTCTGTTGCAAAAACTTGCTTTCTATTTCTTGCTTGATTAGTACATTTTCATCATTTAATCTACTATCCATTAATCATTGGAAAAAATTCTTTTTATTAAAGTACTCTTGTACATGTGCCTTCTTTTTCTTACACTTTTTTGATTAACTTTTAAAAATGAAAGTCTATTGATAACAACAAATACAACAAGGAGAGAGAGAGAGAGAGTAGTGCATGAAAGTGTACAGTATATACCAAGTTCTGAAAATCTTTGATGTCAATTACTTATAGTATAGTTACTCAGACGCTAAGGTCTGCACAAGTTCACAAAAAACAGTATAGCTATATGAAAAAACGAAACAGAGGGAGACAGTGTGTGTGAGAAGAAGAGAAACTCCTCTCTCCTATAATTTTTCAAGAGGAATACTACCTCCACCACCATTCTCATTTTCATTCTCTAATGTCCTTCGATTTATAGCTTTGACCGGCTCATTATTAAAATTGAAATCACTCTTGGTACCATCAGAATCGCTAACCCTGCAATACACGTTCCACAAGAAGCAAGTAACTAAAAGAGCAACTATAATCAATGCAGCAAGGATACCAAACGTTAGTCCTAGTATGATAGGAAGTGAGGAAGCATCCGTAGACGAGGCAGTAGTATTTGAGCCTATTCAATGAACAGAATTAAAGGATGTCGTTTAAAGAGGTATTGCATACTGGGGGTTGATGGAGGAGAGCATGAGTCTCTTAAGCAAGCTGGCAGTGATCTTATTGATGAGTGGTTGCAGCAGTCTGCATCAGTAGTAACACAACATGTGCCAAGTGGTAGACAAGAGCTTTGTTCAGTGCACCAGCTACAGGATAATAGGTTACATGTACTGAGTAGAGAGAGAGAGAACATCATACATGGTAAAGGAAAAATAACAATAATTCTCTTACACATTAGTTTGATTCATACAAGTTTGAGGACAGGCCATAACATCATCAGGAATGACTGGAAAGGAATCAGCTCTTTCATAAGTGGCTGGAGCCATTTTCATAGGACAGACAGGAAAACTATAAAAAAATAAATTAGAAAATAAAAATGCATGCATCGTGAAAATCCTTTTATTCACTAACTCGTAGGCGGTATTGTTACATGCTGAAGTCCTACAAGTGCAGGGACACTGTAAATCATTAGTAAAAGTATCACAGAATGAACACACAGTTTGCTATGAGAACAAAAAATATCAATAGATCACACAAGAATCATGTGACTTACCCCAGCACGACAGAAAGAAAAAGCAGTAGGTAAACAAGTTGATTTTTGCTTGGAAACAATGAAATATCCAGTTGTGCCACTTATAGGACTTATCTAAAGGAGAAAGAATGACTGAATAAAAGTCATAATTATACTTACACAATAGTCCCTGCACCCATTTTCAGTAATGTAACAAGAATTTGATGATATAGCTGAAGAATTGACCTGCAGAAAAACATTACTGATACAGCCATCCATCACTTAAAGTTCCTTACATAATAGAATCTGTCATGATTGACACCCAAATCATTAATATTATTACAACCAGTCTTCACTAACACTCCATTATTAATCATAGATAATGTAATGCCATCATACTGTGTATTAAGAGAAATAAATTTTTAAAATTATTTAAAATTTTTAAAATTAATTTCTCTTATACTAACATCAGTGTGTTCTGTAATATGACGAGGCGGTGTAACTGTATTTGGTAACAAAACAAAATACCCATCACTTGTAATCACTGTACACCTGGAGATTAATAAACAATCACACGACACATCACATGATCATACTCTCTATTGCTGACTCCACAAAATCTGCCACCAAAAGCTTCATCCATGTCCTCCAATAATGAGCTCATGCTGACGTCAGCAGATAAGACACTGAAAAGTGGATTTCTATCTCCTCTATAAAGTGGGTGTGTCTATATATAATATAACTACACCCATTACTCACATTGATAGTCGAACGGATTCACTGATGCTGTAGAGTAAAGTACCTAATTCAGGAAACAATGGATCGGTAAATGCTGGAGTGAGTGAGAGGACATTATCGTTAGTAATAGCAGAAATATAAGAAGGAAGTCCTTTAGGATCAAACTCATTAGATAACTGTAGACCACGATAACTTAGAAATATACCGGTGGGTGTGGTCAAATAACTATGAATATTAATGGATAATTAATAAAAATTAATAAAAATTAATAATTATATTCATTACCGTCTAATTATTGATTCGTAATTATTAGTGGATCTAAGCCACGCCCTCTCAATACGAGAATGGACAGACACAGCTTCAGCTATGCCACTCTGCAAAAAATAAAATAAATCATGCTATTAATTATACCTATTTCTTACATTAGCATAAGATGAACTTCTTGAATTACCCTTGATGTACTCTGAAAAGGTTCTTAGTTCTGATGAGTTGGGCGGAGTTAGAGGCGTGGTTATTTGAAGTGTTAATGAATTACGAGAAGTGTATTGACAGTACTCGGTACAACTATCAGTTGATGAATCAAGTAAATCTTGATAGATAGGGACTGATCTTTGACTGTATGAACCTACAATACCATAAAATAATAAGGACATCAATATGCACCAGAAAATGTAATAAAAATTGGGGGTCATTTCTATAGCCTTGGGTATTTTTCAGAATTTTGGCATTCTCTTAAAATGGCTGTAACTTGAAAAATTGAAGTCAAAATCAGCTCAAACTTTCTACATAGCATAAGGACATCAATATGTATAAGAAAATGTAATAAAAATTGGGGGTGATTTTGGAGCCATTTTTCAGAAAAAACCATGGGCTATAGCTATAGCCTTGGGTATTTTTCAGAAATTTGGCATTTTCTTAAAATGGCCATAACTTGAAAAATTGAAGTCGGAATCAGCTCAAACTTTCTACACAGCATAAGGGCATCAATATGTATCTTAAAATGTAATAAAAATTGGGGGTCATTTCGGAGCCATTTTTCGGAAAAAACCATGGGCTATATATATATAGCCTTGGGTATTTTTCAGAATTTCGGTGTTCTCTTAAAATGGCCATAACTTGAAAAATTGAAGTTGGAATCAACTCAAACTTTCTACATAGCATAAAGACATCAATATGTATCTTAAAATGTAATAAAAATTGAGGGTCATTTCGGAGCCATTTTTCGGAAAAAACCATGGGCTATATAGCCTTGGGTATTTTTCAGAATTTCGGTGTTTTCTTAAAATGGCCATAACTTGAAAAATTGAAGTCAGAATCAGCTCAAACTTTCTACATAGCATAAAGACATCAATATGTATCTTAAAGTGTAATAAAAATTTGGGGTGATTCCGGAGCCATTTTTTGTAAAATTTTCTTAAAATGGCCATAACTTGAAAAATTCAAGTCAGAATCACCTCAAATCTTTTGCATGTATGTAGCACAAGGACATCAAATTAATATGTATCTGAAAATGTAATAAAAATTGGGGATCATTCTGGAGCCATTTTTTGGAAAAAACCATGGCCTTAAGTATTTTTCAAAAACTAGACCGTTTTAAAAATGATAATAGCTCAAAAAATTGAAGTCAAAATCAGCTCAAGCCTTCTACACAGTGCAAGGACATCAAATCAATATGTATCAATACAATGGTATAATAATTACCAGAAATATCAGGTACTCTGAATGTATTAACAACTGACTGATCCTCATCAGCTAACACCAAACAAGCAAATATGTTCAACAGTGGAGTAGATTGCGAATGCGTCACAAAAACTTCATCATCAAGGACTTGCCAGCAGTAATAGGTGGAGGGAACAATACGAGTGAAATAACTTTGATTATTATTAGAGTATAATAATGTATTATTGAACGGCAAGGACTCATTCTCTCCACTACAAAAAAGAGAAAGTAGAAAAAAGTATATCTCAGTAATCTCTCAGTTTATTACAGTATACTTCAGTATACTATCTGCTTACTTCAAGATGGCACTCAAGATGGTTGGAAATGCTTCATTATTTTCAATAGTGGTGGGGTCAATGTCATAAACATAAGTAGTAGGATATCTACTGTGATACATCATTTTACCTATCAAAAATATCATATAATACATGTACATGTATATACTAACCGTCTCCTTTCATTACAAAATAATACGAGGATGGACGATTATTAAGGACGTCCATTTCTAGCCCTGCAAAGAGTCGTTTCCAGGGACTACGAACAGTAGCCACGCCTACTAGATTATTAGTATCATCAGCAATAATCTGTGAAACAGAGAGACAGAGTTCTGAGAGAGAGAGAGAGAAAGAGAGAGAGAGAGGGAGAGGGAGAGAGAGAGAGAGAGAGAGAGAGAGAGAGAGAGAGAGGGAGGGAGAGAGAGAGAGAGAGAGAGGGAGAGGGAGAGGGAGAGAGAGAGGGGGAGGGAGAGGGAGAGGGAGAGGGAGAGGGAGAGGGAGAGGGAGAGGGAGAGGGAGAGGGAGAGGGAGAGGGAGAGGGAGAGGGAGAGGGAGGGAGAGTGAGGCAAGTGAATATTAAATGATTCATTACCTCCTTTGGAGTTAAAATCGGTTGCAACTAAATTGGGCGGAGTCGGAGAAAAATCAGCATTAGCTGTAAAGAAATGTAAATAGTTATTAATCTCTGATAATGGGACAGAATTCCTTGCAGGAGACAAACCCAACGAGTTAGCAGATGAAGAAACTGTTAAAAATAAAAATAATTAATAGTTACATTGATTATGATTTTAAAATACAACAAACCATTTCTCTATAACAAATAATAATACTTATAATAATAATAATAATAATAATAATAATAATAATAATAATAATAATAAATCCACGAATAAAATCCCAGAAAACATCACTTACGCTGGTTGGCATATACAATCGTAAAAAACCCAGCTGCTGGTATATTATTGAATGTTGCTCCATCAAACCCATAGGCATCGTTCTCAGTTATTATTATCAATCGCTCTAGACCAGTAACTGCATTAAAGAGATCCCATGTCTTGTTAAAAGCCTCTTGATAATCCCTTGTACCTAAAAATGCATAATAAATAAATAGATAAATAATGATAACTCACGTGAATCTAATAATTCTTCATTGATTATTCTTGATAGTATCCATTTTTGTGATTCTGTGGCAGGTTCAAAAGAAGACGGACACATCCTTTGTCTGTTAGTGCTCACCACAACTAGCGATATCTATATTAGGAACACGTTACTATAAATAGCATCAAACTGATGACATCACTGTCATGTCACTACACAGGATTGTGGCATATAGTACTGTACATGTACTTATGTTGTGTAGAAAGTGTGAACAGGATCTCATCATAACTGAATTTTTACAAATTTTAAAAGTTGCTCAAAATCGGGTAAAAGTCCCTGTACTATAGTACACAGTCTCAAGCCAAACTTTGCCAAAAATGAAAAAAAAAGAATTCTCCATTTTTATAACTTTATCTGATGCATATACATGTACTTATGGTTGTGTAGAAAGTTTGAATAGATTCCAATCAAAATTGAATTTTTTATGAATTTTTAAAGTTACTCCAAAAGACATACTTGCCATTACAATGTATAGCTCACTTACTGTAGCATGCTTTGTGGGAAACCCTATGTGTTACTATAAATAGCATCAAAGTAATGACATAAAACTATTAATATCAACATTGCTTTCAAGCCAATATTTACTACATACAAAAGTAGTAGCATCTGTGTTTCTGTGTTGCTATTAATAGTAACACAGCTTGTTGCTAAAAATAGACTTACCATATCAATCTCTGTGAGAGATCCAATGACTTTTAGTGCAGCTTCCTTTAAAATGGTGATATTACTGGCTCCGTTAAGATTCAAAAACAACACAATATAGCGAGTACCTGCAGACACATTAGTAGCACGAGTATACCAAGTACTATATAAAGGAAGAAAAACAATAAATTACTGTTGTATACTCTGCATGTTTCATTATTGTTTTCAGTATAAGAAATAAGGATTTCGTTAAGAGCTACACCCTTAACTACTCTCCTATCCAAAAATTGGACACGTTCTTCAAAGTCATAATTGACCTGACAGCTGCTTATATGCTCTGTCTTTATAAAGCAGACATTTGGAAAAGTATATCGTGGGTTGCCCCTATAACCATATTCATTACAATAAATTAAGGTATTATAGAAGGTGTTGTTTATGATAATAGTGTGTTTAGTTGTGTAACACTACAATTCCAAGACAAATATTTGTACTACTATTACCTGCACATCACTAAAATAGCATACATGTCATGTAGTCTGAAGTACAAGTGTATACATGTACATTGTACTATTGTACTTGTGTTTACTTTAAAATGTACACATAAGGTATGTAGATAATTTCAAATATGATGTACATGTACATATGAACTTGTATGCAATTCGTAATACTATAGATCAGGAAATTTGTGTGGTAGAAAATTTTTGAGTTTCAAAATAGTTCTGTGATTTAATGTTTACTAAATAAGATTGTGTCATGTATTATTGAATGCTTTATATGGGTGATCTAATTTTTTGGAAAATTCTAATCCAGTAAAATTAAAATCACATTAAAAATTTGCAGATAGACTGTAATTCCATTAGAACTATTGATATGTATTGTGTACTAAAGAACCTCTCATGCTCCTCTTACGTTAGTCTAGGGTCTAAGCTACTGCAGTTTGCTCCCGAGGACGTTTTTGCTATTCTTGGGAACTCTAACAAGGAACCGTCATTGAAACCCACTTGAACCTCATCAGCTCCATTCAAGGGAGACAAGCTGACGTACAGGTCTTCTATGACAGAGTTAGAGCCTTCTGTCTGGACACATTTATAACAGCAATCACCCGAATTACTAAAAAATTGCAAAAAATAATAATAATAATTAAGCACTAAAATTTAACAGCCATGCCCATAAGTTACGCCCCTTAATTAATACCTGCAGCAGTCTGGTGGTATCACAGTTGTATTATCAACAATATCAAAATCGGCATTTGATGCTTGGTTGATTATCCGAACCATCAACTGAGCTTGGGTTCTGGGATTTGACAAGAATAGCTAAAAAAGAGAGAAAATAGAGAATAATAATAATAATAATAATAATAATAATAATAAGAAGAAGAAGAATAGCGATATTTCAAATATAAAACACAATGACAAGTACATAAATGGAGATATTTAAATCGATAAATCTCTTATCAGAGCAGCTGTTTTGTGTAATAGAAACAATTAAGGCACAACTTTACTACACAAAACAATAACTACAATTAACCATAACATGTGGGTGTGGTCAACTAATTGGCATAAACAGAGAAATGGAGGATCACTATAATAGTGTGTGGTTGCCAGCAAGTGTATACTGGTATTGTACAACCATAAAACAAGCAACAGGTTCCAGTATAGAGTAATAATAATATACTGACTCAACCACAACTTAAGACTACAGACATTTCTTATGTACACACATCAAAGCAAACTGTAGACAGTCTCTCACCTTCACCTTCTCTCCCTCTCCCTCTCTCTCTCCCTCTCTCTCTCTCTCCCTCTCTCTCCCTCTCCCTCTCTCTCTCTCTCTCTCTCTCTTTTAATAATTCACAAATTGACACTATCAGTCACACCAACACCTCCATCATTGACTATCTCATTCTTAGCCTTTGAATATCTCAATTCTGCAAATTCTACACCAAAAATCACACGAAAACATGAAACATAACATAATCATACTTTGCCTGCTCTTGCTCCTCACTCTTCTCTCCTTCCCTCTCTCTCTCTCCCTCCCCCCCTCTCTCTTTCTCTATAGACACACTGACAGCATTCCAAAGACAGGTCCATGTACTAATGCGCTAATGCGACAAGACAGTCAAATGAATGCCAACAATGAAATAACAACACAGCTAGCCCCTGAAAAATCTATAGAGAGACACAGGCTTCATACAACTATTTCATTAACTCATTTACTCCACCACATCTTTTACTGGACCACATAATCCTCAAAATCCCATATATATATATATATATATATATATATCAGCTTTCATTATCATCATCATTATTATATAAGAGATAATATCAGCAGTACTATACCAACTATTAATGGGATACCGATTGACTAATATCAAATTACACTTACATTCCTTTATAGTAGTAACTAAATTATGTATATACATGCACATACATACATGTAAAATTAAGAATGAAAGAAATGATTGTTGTATGTACTGCAGATATCTCCTTGTTTTTATTGCCTTATAAAGACTACCGTGTTAATAATAGTCACAAACATGACGACAACATCAACACTGTGACAACACTCTTGACCAACCAGCTGCTGTGAAGCGAGAAAAGCTCCCACAAACCGCCCACGCATGGGAATAACATTATAAATTAACTTATCAATGGCAACTGGGCATGACAAATCACAATGTATATACAAATCCCTAGCAAATTAAAGCCTCTTTATTCCAGACACCATTGGGCCCAAAGCTACATGTACAGTGTAGCCTCTTTATTAAGGACACCATTGGACCCACACTACCTGTCCTTAATACATGTACAGTGTAGCCTCTTTATTAAGGACACCATTGGGCTCACACTACCTGTCCTTAATACATGTACAGTGTAGCCTCTTTATTAAGGACACCATTGGGCCCACACTACCTGTCCTTAATACATGTACAGTGTAGCCTCTTTATTAAGGACACCATTGGGCCCACACTACCTGTCCTTAATACATGTACAGTGTAGCCTCTTTATTAAGGACACCATTGGGCCCACACTACCTGTCCTTAATACATGTACAGTGTAGCCTCTTTATTAAGGACACCATTGGACCCACACTAGCTGTCCTTAATACAGAGGTGTCCTCATTTCAGAGGTACTTTTTTATAGGCTTGTAGTACCAATTGGGACATTACGAAATGTCCCTCATTATAAAAGGGAATGCCCCCCTTATTGAGCAATAGCTTATTTAATCTCTATTATTTTAATGCATGTATGTGTACAAGCTCTTACTAGGCTCTGAATGGCCGACAGTTCATCAACTTCAATAGTAGAGTAATTAACCAGAACTGAACTGTATTGAGACTGAGAGAAAGAGAGAGAGAGAGAGACAGTTATGACAAGTATACAAGACAGTATAAATTAGCAGGGTGACAGTAAGAGTAGATCTTGGTGACAGTACAGTGAAAAATTACATGTGAATGTGCATGTGCCTGCTCTTTTCAAGTGTTAGTGTCAAACACGTCAGCAAAATTCAAAAAATGGATAAAGATAGTGTTTGAACGTACATTACTTACTGTCCATCGATTTATTAAAAATAGCTATAAATAATAACAGTCAGAGACAAGGGTATTTACAACACAAACACTAAATGAAGTATCACATGCATGTAGATGTAGATGTATTCTATAGTGACAAAAACATGTACATGTATACAGTCTACATGCTTTTACTTAAATTAAAAGGGTCCTGACTCCAAAGGAGTGTTTAAAGCTTACTTTCATGTATTCTACTCCCAGTCCATTTGTTCTTAGTTGTCTGAATTTTTCAGAGAGACGGTTTCCTGCCTCTGTCATTTGAGCCTCACTAGGTAAGGCCGCAATTGAGAGAGAGGGAGAGAGGAGGAGGAGCAAGAGAAGGTAGAGGAAAGAGCTAGCCATGACTTGGCTCTCTCTTTTTTGGCTGTGTGTATTTTACAGCAAAGAGAAAGCGAGAAAGAAAGGAAATAATATCGATTACTGTCACCACAATAATTAATAGTAATAATTAATAAAAATAGGCTAATTAATAAATATCAATGTTTAATAGGTTTTAAATTTATAGTCAAATAATTTTAATAAAATGGCTACCAGACCTTTACTCTCTATTGCTGCTGTTTCAGGACTTAGGGCGGCTCTATTACACTCTAGAAGTATCCCCAGACAATTTTACTCTGCTAGTATCCTGGAGAGAAGAAGAAAGAAAGCAAAAGATGGCCTTTATAACTCAAGAAATGGTACTGTGTGGGTGTGGCCTAATAAAAAACGTCACTACTGCACCTCACCATCAGAAAATGAAACAGAAAAAGAAAAGTAAAAAAAATTATTAAATAATGTACAAATTTTAAATAATTCCGAGAAGCTCACAATTATTTTAACACTTAATTTTAACATTTATTTTCACCTTGAGCTCCGCCCTATAATAAACTCCATTCTATTATGATAATAATAATTATAACATTAAATCATCACCTTTTTTTTAGTATTAGTGTTACGTACATCGGCAAAGATGGAGAGAGACATGAAGTAAAAGGAAAAGTCGGAGACAACCTACTCCATCTTGCTCACAGACACGGCATAGACATGGAGGGTGAGGATAAAGTGTAAAATGTGCATTAATTGGAATTATATTATCCAGGTGCTTGTGAAGCTTCGTTGGCATGTACTACATGTCACGTATACGTTGAAAATGAATATTTTGATTTATTACCAGAGGCACACGAAGAGTAAGTTTTCATTTTAATTAGTTCATTTTATGTGTACATAATTTGAATATACCGTAGATCAGGAAATTAGTGTGGTAGGAAATTTTTGCGGCTTAAAATTGTGCTGTGACTTAATTTTTACTAAATAAGACCGTGTCATGTATTATTGAATGTGGTATGTAATTATATGGGTAATCTAATTTTTGCGAAATTCTAATCCAGTAAAATTTAAATCACAGCAAAAATTTCCAGATAGACAGTATCCACTTTCTTTCTCAGAGAAGAAGATTTGCTCGATCTTGCTCCATTTTTACAAGAGAACTCCCGACTAGGCTGCCAAGTCATCCTAACTAAAGAACTCGATGGCATGACCGTAACACTTCCAAAAGTGACAAGAAACTTTTATGTTGATGGCCACACTCCTCAACCTCACTGAAGAGTGTTGATGCATGCATATTAATACAAATACAGTTATAATTGCGATGTATTATAAATTTTTGTGATCATGTAGCAAAATTAATGATAGCTAGACAATAAAAAATAAAAGAAACAAGTTACAGCATTGCTTTATGTACATGTATACATGTAGCTCTCTATTTTTTAATACTTAAAAATGTTTGAAACTGGAGTTCAAACTTCAAATGATAGCACACTTCATTTGAGGTAGTGCTGGGTGTCGTTTCCTTTGTAACTCCTCTATTGGCTTGTGATAGTTATCCATCATCCACTTGTAATCATTGCTAGTGTAAATTAGATACAGTATCTTTTGTTTTTGGCGACTGGGCCCTAATGGAAAGGAATGAACCAGTCTCAATTTGTGTTTGATGGTTGTCTCATCAACAAATTTGATGACAGAAGGATTGATTGTTTTATCAAATATGAATATGATCCCCATGGTTTCGGGATTATAAGAAAGACAATACTTTATTAGCTGGACTTCTTCTTCATGGGTCAGTTGAGAATAATTCTGATAGTCTCTGAGACGACTTAAAGAATCAGCTAATTGACTATCTAATTCAAAGCAGCTGCAGACAGTGTTGAAGTAGTACATCAAGATAGCTATGGGATCATTGGGTACAAAGACTTTAACCTGCTCCCCATTGACATGTATTTCTATCTTCTCCTGGTTCTGAACTGATGATGCCATCATATGCTCTGCAGTCTTTCAAAGTTGTTAAGCTGTTTTGTTTTTCAGTCATGTGATCATAAAATATGAATATTGTAGATCTACACACAGTAATGAATTCTATGAATGACATTGGAGTAGCTTACATACAGAAGCATGCATATAAACACAATGGTTCAAAACATTTTCATCGATCATTTATAAATCCTTTTTTTGTATGTTTTATAAGTCGAAAATTTCTGCACATGCTGTGCAATTTTGACACATCATTGAATCCAAAACTTTATTGTTTCAAACAAGTATAGCAATTGAAATAATATCAAATAAATCTACAGGGGCTTATAGCAATAACAATTGGTACACAACAGCTCTACAGTGTATAGTCAATAGACTATTGTAAACTGGACATGTGTAAACAACCCTAGACACAAAACAACAACAGTGATCACACAATACTAACTAAACACAGTATTATACTTGCACTCCTACATACTAAAAGGCAATGCAGTATTACTAATAGCAACACTTGCTAATAGTTCAATGGTTCATTCTTCAGAGTATAGTGCAGGAACTGCTCTCCCTGCGACGGGCAGGAGGACGACGTGGGGGAGGCTCAATACGACGTTGAGCAGGACGGTTGAGTCTCCTCTGCACTGCTTTAAGTGGCTCAATGAAGTTGTTCTCCATCCACCTCTTCTCGAAAAACATGACACTTTGTACTTTTTTCTGCTGTCCTCCAATGAGGAGAGAGTTGGTCACAAGAATGTCTGTTTTAACAGCACTTATCTCAACAAACTTGTTTGTGGATGATCCACAATCATTGACTGGATGGAATATCGATCCAATCAAGTTGTCAGGACTGAGAGCAAGACAGAGAACTATGAGTTGAGCCTCTTCTTCGCTGGTCAATCGATGATAATTCTGATAATCTC